AAGCCCAAAAAGCCCTAAGCCCACAAAGCCCTAAAAGCCCACAAAGCCCTAAACCCAAAAAGCCCTAAGCCCAAAAAGCCCTAAGCCCACAAAGCCCTAAACCCCACAAAGCCCTAAACCCCAAAAAGCCCTAAACCCTAAACCCTGAACCCAAAAACGCCAAACGCCCTAAACCCCACTAACCCCGGAGACCTGCTGCGGCGCTCAGGGAGGCCGAAAAGACGGCCGAGGTGCCGATGCCCAGTGCAAGGAGATTGACCCTGAATTCCGTTTTTAATAGTATTCTTATTATTACCATTATTCTTACTATTAAGTTAGTATTATTGTTATGAATCTTGCTATTTTTTGTTGCTTTTTAGTGTCGTCATTCTTGTCGTCATGACTGTTTGATTAGCGTGTTATTGTGATGATTGTTGTTGTTCTTGGACATTGGCCACCAGGGTCGAGTTGAGGCTTCTTGGTGTTGGTTCGTTGGTTCTCCGTCGTGTTGCGGCTGTTGTCACAAATGCCGTCCGCATTATTGAGGTTGCTGCTGGTGACTGCGGTGGTGGTTGCGGTATACAGACTGGAAATGATATTTCTTCGTTGCCGTGCATCAGCTACAAGATGACAAGGTATGGTTTATGGTGTTGTGCTTCAGGAGCGTCCAAAGTTGATATATGTGTTGACTCTTGGGCTTCCATAAGTCATGAGCATACGATGGTTTCCACGCTTGTGCTTACTTGCTGTCCTCCGGAGCAAGCCCATTTCTCAGCGTCTGAAAACGAGGCGTTGGAAGGAAAGACTGAGGCCAGGCCGCTGTTCGCTACTACCCTTACCCCCCAGGTACCTACTATATAGGGCTCTGGTACCCTATATAGTAGGTACCTGGGGGGTTAGGGCTACTTAGGAGGGAGTTCCAATCTTGGTTACTGGCACTTGCGTTTCGCGAGACAGAGCATCATGTTCGTGTCAGCTGCATCGCCTGGTCCTTCAGTGCAAGAGTGCTCATACTTTAGCCATGTACGCCTGGAGGTGACGAAGGAGGCGAATGGCAACGAGCCAGCCGCGTCAACTCGAGGGCTGCCCGACGAAACCCTGGAGCAGCCGGAAGCAGCCACAACGGCAGCAGAAACCACCACAGAAGCCGAGCATCGCCTGTCGGAAGGCCTGGAAACCACAGAAAAGCCAGAACAGATGCTCTTCGGCAGCAAGGATACAGTGAAGGAAGACCCCTTCGATAACGATAACAGCACCGACACATCAGAGGAAGAGGACCCCTGGAGTGGCACGAAGGCGCCGAAGGAGGAGCAGCAGCATTCAGGGGGCAGCCCCGCAGCACCAGAAGCAGACGCGGCGACTGCTACGACCACGGTCCCGGAGTCCAAAGAGAACACAAACAGCGATGGTGGCGAAAACATCGTCACCACATCAGGAGCACCTGCTACAGAGCCTGAAGGTCCAGAAATCTCAGAGCAGCCTCCGGGTGTCAGCACCGAAGCGCCAGAAGCAGACATGGCAACGACCAGAACCCCGGAGCCCAGTGCCACCAGAGAAGCGAATCCTGAAAGCACGGTGGCTGTCAGCACATCGGAACATGCTTTGGAGCCAGAGGGTCCAGGCCTCTTGCCACAGCCCGGGCCCACCCAGACAAAGGGAGCGTTCAACAGCAAAGGCGCAGCAACAGACACGGACACGATCACCGAAGAGACGACAACGACAACAACAAGCACAGACGCAAGTGATGCAGAGATGCCATCCGACGACTCGGTGCAGAAGCTGGAAGCTCCACAATCCACAACATCAACACAGGTTGCTCAAAAGGAGTCTGAGAATCACCAGGAGGCAACTACACGAAGAACGGTCCCAGAGCAGCAAACAACCACCACAGCAGAAACCATTCCTACTTTGAGCCAGACCCCTCACGAAGACGATGCCGAGGCGGAGGCAGCAGAGACAGCACTGCTGACGTCGGAGTGACAATCACCGCGACAGCATGTTCATCACCGTCATCACACCGGCATCATCATCCCTGGAGTAATATGTTCTTTATTAACTACTCGTTACCACAGTAATCATCATCAGCGGTATTGGCGTGCCATGTGCACAGTAGGGGCTAGCGGGTCGCAGCAGAATATGTACTGTCTTCCCACTAGTATCATCACCACAATCACGGCCACCCGCATAGTAACCATCAAGATCAACAGGCATCATTTTCAGAGGCATCACCATTACCTGAAACACATCAAGAAGTTTTCTCCATGATCATCGGCATCATCAGTCATCGTCATCATCATCATCTTCTTCTTCATTTTCATCATCATCATCATCATCAGCATCATCATGGTCACCATCATCATCACCATTATCATCATCTTGTTTAGTTTCATCACGAACACCACCCTGCAACAATCAGTAATTCCAGAGTGGCAGGTTGTAGACACGCGGTTGTTGCAGTTGTCGTTGTCGTCACCATTGAGGTTTTCGGATGAGAATGGAAGAGCCCAATGCTTCTGTGTAGGTGTCGGTTGACATTTCGAAATGTTGATGGTACATGATGCTTGTTCAGGAACTCAAGTGCAGCACGCGAATGTGGGTCTGTAGGATCTGGGTTGCGGGGTTCCTGTTTAGAGTCTGTAAACTTAAATCCCTATCTCGATACAGTACCAGCAGCGTGTCAGCAACCTCCTCGATGGGATTTCGTTGTGGGATCACAGCTAACTTTGCTGGAGAGCTTGCTATGATTCTCACCAGGAAACCCAAAACAGTGAGGAGACCAGCTGAGCAGGCGACCGGGGTGTAGGGTTTAGGGTTTAGGGGTGTAGGGTTAGTCTGGTCCTTGCGGACTCATTTGTGAGTTACTGGAAACCGGTGTTTGGGCTTTCGGGCAGGGTGTTGCGAGGCCGTAGGAGCCATAAGTGGTTCGGCTCGATGTCACTGAGCAAGTTTTACATGAAGCGACTGCGATCGGCTGGAGAGAAAGGGAGTGTCTGAGAGCCTGCACATGGCCACTCCGTTTTGTGAGGTGGTGTAGGTCCTTGATGACTTAACGGAAGGCTGGACGGGCTGAAAGACACTTGGTTAGCTCAAGCAGCTAGAAGCAGATCGGGTATCTACTGCCAAGCGTGCATCCAGAACTTGGACCTCTTCAAAAGACCCAAATCCCAAAGTCAGGCCCTGACGTCTGAGTGAAGCCAGTTCCGTTGTCCGACACCCGTAGTCCTATCCAACCGCCTGGGGAATGCTGTATTAGTTTGGAAATGGTTATTTATGTCAGACTGACTAGCAATGGGAATAGTGATGATCGTGACTAATAGTGGCAGCCAGAACTAGAAGAGCACCGATGTGCTTGTGATGTGGAAAATTTGTCGATATCTTAGCTTTAAACGAATAGGCACATATGAGTATTGCCTACATATATAGGCAACTGTCAAAATCATGGTCCCCAGAGCCCTAGAGAATTCTATTCTTTCTGGCACCCTAAACCCTATAACCCTAAACCCTATACCCTATAACCCTAAACCCTAAACCCGAAAACCCTAAACCTGAAAACCCTATAGTTTGGGAACCCAAAAGTCCTAGTTTTGACAACTTTGCTAAATGGAACATGATGATAAGCAGCCCGTGCCGGAGCTTCTGCGGATGTCGACCTCCCTACCCAGGACACGCTTGCATGCTTCCAGCTTAGGGCCTTAGGGTTTAGTTTGCGTTTGTTTTGGGGGGGGGGGGTCTGCGCCCCTTTACCTCAGCTTGCAGCGGGAGATTTGGTGTTGAGGGTTTTCGAACTTGGCGCGTGTCTCCACGGGTCAAGGTCGCAATGCTGATAAATACACTGTTCGAAGTGCCATGAGTCTTCTGCTCATGGTTGCTGCTGCTGCAGGAAGAAGAGTATTCGTAGTCCAAGAGGTGGTAGGACGAAGCGCACAAGGAGGAGGTGAAGATCATGGTAAGCAACATCGGTAGATTCATTCATTCATCGATCCATCCATCTGTCCAACCATCCATGCATCCATGCATGCATTACTTCATTCATGCCATTAGTTCTTCATGTACAGAATCAGCGTCACTACCTGCATCGAAAGCACGGAAATCGAAACTCAATGGTGTCTGTGCTGCAGCGTCAAGCGTTTGGGCTAGCAGCATGACCACCAACGTTTCTGTCGCATGCGAACCTTGAGCCAACTGCAATCTGATGGTAAGCGGCAAACACAAACCCTAAACCCTGAACCCTAAACCAAACACAAGAGTCTCAAGCGATTGCAAGGTTGGTCCATGGCCAGTCAGAGCAAGATCATGTCCAACCCTAGCCTCGGGGCACAAGTAATCTAACAGGGGTACAGTTGCCAAATGAGATACGCAGTCTGCATGCATAGTCGGATGTATATAGTCTGTATATATACATATATAGATTATATTTATATTTATATACATATTTAATTTATATTTATATACATATTATTAATTATAGTGATAAATATATTTATATTTATATTTACACACACACACCAGCTACTGTAAGGCAGGAACATACAAAATCTTGAAAACTAACAACATAAGCGACGGTGAAACTTGCATCTTTCAAGTCCTTACTGCCCGTTCCAAAGGGCATGTGAAGGGTTCTGGGGTTTAGGACTTATAAATTCTGGGAATCTGAGGACACGCAGATAGTAGATGTACTAGACAGTGGTCGCGGCGTAGCTGAGCAAATTCTTTCGTGTTATTCCGCGGGCCGATGGACACCTACGCCGGCGAGTGGGGGTACAACGGCTTGCTGCGGTTGTGGTATGCTCAACATGTAGCCCTTTCCGCAGAGGGGCAGAATCTCAAAGCTGACTGAGTCTGCTCATGTTGACATCGCTTTGTTGTGCAGGTGAGGCAGCGGCTGCAGCACTGACTGACATGTCGAGGCTGTCGTGGCATTCATGTTTTTGATGTTTTAAGTATGGTGCTCGAAGTGAAAGGGGACAGGAGCAGAACGGGACTGTTGTGGCAGAGGCTGGTTTTTGTATCTCAAGGATGTCTGTCTTGGCATGTGGTTTGGGCACAGCCATAGTTAGAGCAAGATGAACTGTATCCCCTTCCCCATGCAACAGCCCAGTGCCGTATCATTCGCATTGGAAGGTTTTGGAAATCATCAACATGTCGCCGCGATGTCCCTGCGCGGCTCTGTGCATGGCTCTTTGCTGCACCGCCGCATCTGCGGCTGTTGCTGGTGGCCCGAAGCAACTGCATCTGGCCTTGGGTGAGAAGCCGACCGTTGTCACCGTGACATTCGTTAGCAGTGTCTCATACAGAAACTCAACTTGCAGCATTCGCCATCCTAACAGCACGAAACCCGTGCGCTCCTATGTTGGCAAATCCCGGTTGTACAGCAACCAGGGATGGTCCGGCCGGATCCATTCTGTTAGAATGGACGAACTCCCCGAGAGCACGCCCTTGTCTTATTCATGCGATGGCGAATCCTGGCACGGATTCCAGACGCCACCTCCTGTTGGCCACCTTCCCATCACCATCGCCGCGGTTGCTGACTTGGGAGAAAACTGTGACAAGGAAGGATGTGGAAATGCGACCATTGCCGCTTTGGTTGCCGATACATCGTACACCATGCTCCTGCACGCTGGCGATATCGCATACACAGGAGGAGATGAAACCATCTGGGATCACTTCATGACAGAGATCGAACCTATCGCACGTGAGCGACCGTACATGGTTTGCGTAGGAAACCACGAACACTTCAACAATTTCACGGGCTACAAAGTTCGTTTTACGATGCCAGGTGCTGCTCATGACAACGGTAACCTCTGGTACTCCTTCGACTACGGTGGTGTCCATTTCTTGACTTTTTCCACCGAGCACCGTCTCGACATGCAGCTATCGTTCATCAAACAAGATTTAGAGACGGCTTCTGCTAACAGGGACAAGGTACCCTGGATCGTCGTGTTCGCACACAAGCCCCTTTACTGCTCCACGAATGATTACTACGATTGCAACATCAACAGCATTCGCCTTCGTCGGGAGCTGGAACCACTTTTCCAAGATCACAAGGTTGGACGGGTAACTAATTAGGGGTGTTCGTATTATTGTTGTTACCATAGTTGTTATCGCTTTTAGTGTTTAGATTGTTACTGCTCTTATCTCTGTTGTATTATTATAAGGGGATCATGAAACTATAGTTACCACAGAACCCAAGTCTGCAAGAGCCAGTGTCCCGCGAGGTGGACTTGTTCTTGGGAGGCCATCTGCACAACTACGAGCGCACCTGGCCCGTGATGCAGAATGTGACCGTGGCCAAAAGCTACACCAACCCCAAGGCAATTTTTCTAATTCTCTCAAGCCAAAGCCCTGAATTGGAAGCCGAATAAACCCCGATCATGTGCCCATCCGAAGGCCACCGTGCACGCAGTGATTGGCAATGCTGGAGATTCAGAAGGCCTTACCGACAAGTGGGAGGCATGCCCCGACTGGTCTGTGATTCGCCAAGCCTCCCTTGGCTATGCCAAGCTATTCTTTGAAAGTCGCACGAAGCTGAAATTCGATTTGATGGATTCGACGAATGGCTCCTTGATTGATACCTTCACGATCGAGCGATTCGTGCCAGAGGCGCCAGCGATGCTGTCCATGTACACGTAGCAGCAGTGCCAGTCGTGAGGAGCCGAGAGCACCGAGTTGTTGACGAGTCATTATAAGCTGTGGTAAACAGTAGTTACAGTCCTGAGACCGTGGTGCGCAAGACGCCATGCCAGAAAAGATAGCTGAGCGTGACTCCTGTGGTCCACGGACTGTTGCCCGCAGAAGCAGCAAACTCTGTCTATGTCACGACAGGGTCCACTATTTCGCAACTTTTTAGAGGGTGTCCAGTCTTATTGAGTATCTATTCACGATATGGTTACTGGCTGCTGTAATGTTAAAGCTGAAGAAAGACCTGGTGTTGACTGCTTCTTGCGGGGTACCGTTTGCTCGGGATCCGGCTTGGCTTGATT